TCAGGTTTGGTGTTTCCAGGAGTAGTGGAGTATAGTGATGGACTCTTGTGACGAGCCGATTGACAGATGATAGAAGCAGTTAGCTTCCTCCCATAATTGGGGCTTACCAGGGGTTGTAAAAATCTAATATATATATATACATATATACATACATATATATACATATATACATATACATATGCGTGTGCATGTGTTAAAGGAAAACACCAATATATATATAAACCTAGGAAAGTAATTTGCCATTGGCTGCTTCAGAGGCATTTCAACTTTCTATTCTGGAAATTCGTACAGCCCTAATACGTCCCAGGGGTGCCCCGGCTAGATGTCAACCAGATCTGGCCCATCAACCTTAGTGCCGACTCCTCCTTACCGGTCAGAGACAGCAAATAAAGGCTGCTCACCTCTTATAGCCTGTGATCCTCAGGGTGGCTGGCAGAGGCTCCCGCAGGGTAGCCAGGAAGCTCTCCCATTCCTCCTGAGGCACGATGCCAAGCTGCCCATAGTAGTGTTCAAACGACGCGTTCTCCTTCACGATGTCCGGATAGCCACCATCGGACCAGCCCTGGGGGAAGCAAGCGAGGAGGGAAGAAGCCTCAATCCGAGTCCCATGCTCACGACCGGGATTTCCTCATCGCCACAGAGCGGTGTCGGCCCCGCAGAAGCGGAGGAAGCCGGACGCTCGCTTAGCCTTTCTTGGCCCAGAGCATCAGAACCGGAGCTCTGAGGGAAAACCCGGCGCTTTTTTAACCCGCCGGCAAAGAGAGCCAACAAAGGCCGCCACTCACCTGGGAGCCTCCCTCGCGGCTCTGCTGCTGCTGCTGCTGTCTTCGGCGTTGCCTGCGGCCCATCACAAGCCCCGGACACTGCCGCCACAAGGCTTGGGGCGCGAACAGGCCCAAGCCCGAAGTCAGAATCCCCACCGCCTCACGTCCGATGCGCTGAAACCGCCGCTTCAGCAGACTCCCCATTCGGCGATGGGTCGCTCGCGCGCGTGCGCGTAAGAGTCGCGCAGGCGCTTAAGTCGTTTCCTGTTCCTCAAACTACTGGCAGACGCGTGCACGGTCTCCAACGACCTCCAAGTTCCGAGTTCCCTTTCAGAAATTAATCTCGTGGATGCTAATTCAGTGGTAGTCAACCTGGTTCCTACCGCCCACTAGTGGGCATTCCAACTTTCATGGTGGGCGGTAGGGGTTTTCTCTGAAGCACTTCCCTTTTTTTAAAAAAATAAATTGACTTTTTAAAATAANGAGGAAGAATTCTGGAAGTTGAAGTCCACAAGTCTTAAAGCTATCAAGTTTGAACACCCCTGGGGATTTTTTTTCTAAAGGGTTAGGGGTGCAAGAGTCTTGTAACTTGACAGCTTTAAGACTTGCGTGCTTTAAATGCCAGAGTTTCTGAGCCAACATTTTGGTTGCTAAGCAAGAGCATTGTTAAGTGAGTTTCACCACAAGTTGGCCACGCCTACCCAGTCACATGGCTGGCAAGCCACTCTCACCCAGTCACATGGCTGGCAAGCCACTCCCACCCAGTCACACGGCCTACAAAACAGGCCACACCTACAAAAGAGGTTCTAAAATTTTTTGAAACCCAGCACTGGTCCAAAGAGATCTCTAGGTTAGGGCGGGGCGGGGAGTATCATTCTAAAGGGAACGTGCTGTGATAGAAAAGGCATGTTAGATGTCATTATTTAATCAAGATGTTCTGAAGAACACCAACTCTCCCTGATCTTATCAGTCATGCAGAAAGCATGTGAGATCAGCAGTTCCTCAGATAACTTGGCCCTTGAAATCGGTCTTGATTCCTGGTGAAATCAGTCTTTCTCCAAGTGACCTGGACAAATCCTTTTAATTTTCTTGGCAATATTTTTGGAAATGGCTTGCTATTGCCTTCTTCCTAGGGATGAGAGAGAGTTACTGGCCCAAAGTCTCTGGCCCAATGTTGAAAGTAGGATCAGAATTCACAGCTTCTAGCTTAACCGCTACACCAAAGCAGCTCTCTTAACTAGGTTTTTCATAGAAAAATTATTTAAATCCCTGAGCAGTTCATTGGCCAGGCTTTGGAAGCTCCTGGGAATATGAGCCATTGAAAGATGTGATGAATTCTATATTGTAGAGATCCATGATGGCTCAGGCTTGGAAAGAAGCCAATATTGTTTCATTGCTAAAGAAAGGTCAAGATACTACTTTGACAAAGAAAAAAATAGGCCAATTTCATTGTTAAATAATGATTATAAATGATTCACTGCCATTTTGGTTAAAAGACCGAAGAAGGTTCAACTATAAGATCAATCTAAGCTTCTGTCAAAAAGATAGTTGAGAGAAAATGTAAAACCTGTCTTGAATGTCATTGAATATGTACAATACCATAATGAAAAACAATGTTGTTGGTTGCAGAGAAAGCCTTCAACAATTTAAACAAGGTCTTTATGTTTAAAGCTCTGGAAGATAGGGGACTCAGGTGAGAAATTCATTGAAGGAATCAAGTAGATTTATACATCTCAGCAAATGAGCATAGTGTCAATGGAGATTTCATTAAGCCATGTGAGATTCAAAAGATGTAAGACAACCATTTCCCACTTATCTCCATTGCTTTTTATTTTAGTCTTGTAAGTTTTGAATAGAGATATTAGAAAGATTAAAAAAAATAGTCAGTATTAAAAAGTTAAAAATGAAATATATAAACTGATTTTGCTGATGATTTAGTTTTGTTTCTACAAGGCTGAAAAAAGTTCTATGGAATATTTAATGAAGAAACTAAAAGATCATGAAACTTTGGTGAAAGGTGAAGGTAAAAAAAATATGCTGATTGCAGTGAAAATTTTATATGTGCAAAAATGGAACAATATTGCAATTCCCACGATGGAAGGATGGATGGAAGAAATTGTTAGAGATGGCAAAATTAACAGCGTTAATTAAAGGAAAGAATTGTCTAGTTTTGTTTATACTTGGAAACCGCTTCTAGACTTTATGCTTGAAACAGAAAAAAATGAAACTTTAATTTTTGATTAATTTGTTGTTATCGAAATATCTATATATACTGAATACGTAAAGTAAAAAGCTGAGATTGTAACTGCATTTTGTGTTTTACTGCACCGAGAAAAGTTGGAAGTCACTTTTCTCGTTCCAAAGATCAATACAGTTGTTAAATTCAAACAAATCAAAATGTGTGATGAAAGCTGGCTTCTCCTTATCACTGTCCTTATCACTATCTACCAAAGACATGTCTCAACATGTCTCCGGTGTGAAAATGTTCCTTACTCTCCTAGGTGCTTGAGCTAGTGATCAATGCAAGTTGTAGGAAACAAGTCCATTTTTATTTTCTTCTGATGTTCTCCAAAGTCTGTGCAGAAACATTCTTTTTACCTAGGCATGGGAATCTGGACAATTGGGAAGGCCTAATACCCTCATTGTATGCATCTCCTCTGTTTTTCAATTGCATTATATTGCTAGGTGGGGCTGTTGGGTGACCTTGACATTTTGGCTTACTCAACCCTATGTTTAGAGTGTGGATTGCAAGATTTGCAACTCTAGGTTGCGTTGTTAATTGCTGACCTTATTTCTAATCCCACCTCAAGGTGAGATTTCTTCTCTGTTCCTCTATGGCAAATTCACAAATGTGGATCAGAAACTTCCCTGCCCTGTACCTTATCCCAGGTGAGACTAAATATCATAAATTCTAGGTTTGAGTCTGGTTTCTGGGAAATTGAGTTGTTTGTAAAAACAATAAAGGTGAGATACAAATTAATGAACAAACTCAATAATGTAGTTCAATTCTCCCAAGTTCTGTCTAATTTAGTAATGACTTGACTAGGCTGCTTCACTTTTGCTAGCATATACAGTTCTGAGAACGAATTCCTGATCTCACAGTATGAAAAGGTATTTTGGGGCAATTGTATCAGAGTTATTTTATTGTCCACTGTAATTAATAAAATCTTTTATTGCCATGGTCAGTCTTTATATCCCTACACAGTTTGATCTGCATCAAAATTTCTCCTATAAATGGCAAATTTAATTTTTTGCTTCAAAAAATAGAATAGAGAAAGAGGATGTACGTTAAATAATTATAATTCTTTATTATAGAGCTACGATGAAATTACCATATTTTGATACCAAATTTAGAGGAAGTAACTGAGCCACCTTATAACAAAAAAGCTCTTCACAATTTAGATAAGAAATTGTGAATATTTGCAAGGACAAAGAATGAATCAAATTGTGTAAACAATGAATCAGTAAAATTGTATACTTCATTCTTAAGTAGACTTTGTTTTAATCATGAGCCTTGTGGTATATGAGCCATGCTTGGGAGGTTTGGAGGTCAAATTTATATCAAATCCCCTTCTGAGGTTGCCATACAGGGTTTGTTGCATTCTGGTGGCAGGGGTCTTGTGTCAAAGCATTTGATGCTGGCTTTTGCTGTTGTTTTAAAAACATCTTTGGAATCAGAGGTTGCCATCTTCAAGAGACTGCTGAAATTAAGGCAAACTAACCAGCTCTTGTAATGACAAGTGCGNTTAGAAGGGAAAAAGACATTGATACTGGGAATATATGCTCCTAATCAACAACAAGATGGAGTTTATAGAAAACTTCATGCTAAATTAGTACAGTGGGATTATAGGTCTTCCATACTACTGGGTGATTGGAACGGTGTTATAGATACTAAGAAAGATAAGAAGGTTTCCCATCCAAACACTCAAACGCGAGCAAAATTACCTAAATCTTTTTTCGATATGATGGACGACTTTGAATTGAGAGATATTTGGCGAGAAAGAAATACAGAAGAATATGACTTTACCTTCTTCTCATATTATGCCAGTAGATGATGCCTTCAATTGGATGGCACTTAACATAATACTGAGGAAAGTGTGAGGTTTTTTTCAGAGCATTTTCTGGGAAACCTGGCAGTAAAGGTTGCAGCTATGACCACATAATCATGAAGTGCTTGGCAACTGGTCTTAAGTAAAAATGGTTTGTCAAACACCAGGTTGTAATCATATGAATGTGGGGGCATTGCAATAGTGATAACTTCAGTGACCAGTCATAAGTCGCTTCATTTTGCCAAAGAAGGTGGAGCTTAATTGTAGCATTAAAGAAATGGCCAAGTGCTAACTGGAGTATGAACAAATTCCAAATTAAACTAAATAACTTGGTGCAGAAAAGGTTCGCTATCACTGCCTTAGAAGATACAGTGGGGCAAAAGAGAATTTAGTCAGCCACCAATTGTGCAAGTTCTCTCACTTAAAAAGATGAGAGAGGCCTGTAATTGACATCATAGGTAGACAAAGAGAGGGACACAGTTATTCCCACATCAGCTGTGCATCTGCCTGAAATTAATCCTGTCCAGCCTGCGTGGGCGGTACACACTTCAAGCACTGCCTCATTCTTTATTAGGGCCTCCTTGCTCTGGATTCACTAGATGCAAGACAGAATCCCAGCAGCAGATGTCAGATCACATCAGGACTTGAATAAACTCGCTGCTGTTGTTCAATTCTCAGTGGATGCCACACTATATGCCGCCAGATTTGCTGCCAGTTCTATTGGCTCAACAGTCACAACTCAACGCTTGCTCTGGTTGCATTAATGGCAGGCTGATGCTTGACACAAGTGGTGTTTGGCCTTGTCACCCTTCAAGGGAGAGTTCCTGTTCCGTGAGACTCTTGACCCATTCCTGATCAAGACCAAAGACAAGAGGAAGATCCTACCATCTGTTAACAGGACAGGGTCCTTTCATCCGACGCCTTACTTCAACCAGCCTTCCTTTCAGCCCCTAACCTCTGGGTCCAGGGCTGCCCGCCAGCAGGGGGATTTCCTCCCCAGGCACTGTCAATATTCAGATAGACCATACAGAGGTAGACACACTAGGAGGCCCTTTTGAGGTGCAGGAGGTCACCCCTTTCATCACCCCAAGTAGTTCTGCCTCTGATTCTCCCATCAGGATTGCCTTGATTTTTTTGCGGACCACTGGGAGACCATTACTTCTGATGCCTGGGTC